CTCAACCCACTCACGCCGTGTCGTTATATCCTTTGCCATTGCATGGAGCTCTCCCCATGTCCTCCCCATCTTTCTAACTTCATTCTCAAGCTCTCTTCTCCGTGTGTTTTTAGGCTTCCTTTATCCCTTTGCGCCCGTGGATTTCAATGCATTCTAGTTATGCTGTTTTCTCAGTGTGTGTCGTATCCAACGCCAGCGTCTTTTCCTATCCTCTTGGTCCACTGGAGCCTGTTTAGTTCTCTCCCAAAGCTCTACAATAGTTATTCTATCATACCATTTAATCCCCTATATTCTACGCAGGCACCAGTTAATGAATGTCTGTAATTTATTAGTAATTTCCTTAGTTGTCCTCCATGTTTCCGCCCCATACAAAAGTATTGATTTGACATTAGAATTAAAAATTTTTAGTTTAGTATTTCTTTTCATTTCTTTTGACCCCCACAAATGTCTTAGTGCTATGAAAGCTCCTCTTGCCTTTGATTCTTATTTTAATATCTTTATCAGTTCGTGCATCTTTATCTACATTACTGCCCAAATAGGTGTACGACTCCACGTCTTGGAGTGGGTTGCCATTAAGAGAAACCACACTACTATTTGCCTCATTTATTCTCATTATCTTTGTCTTTCCTTTGTGGATTTTTAGACCAAGCTGCTGTGATCTCGCATCAAGTATATTTAATTTATCTTGCATCTGATTCCGTGAATAGGACAGAAGAGAAATATCATCAGCGAAGTCCAGATCATCAAGCTGTTTTGTAGGGGTTCCCATGCACATTCAGAAATGCGCAAGTACATGTAAAGTCTGAAGTACACATAGCTTACATATTTGCAAGCATACACACATACATACGCGTGTGTGTATTGCATCTATCCATACACCCGTCCATACATTATTACATACATTTATAGATACCCACACCAACCTATAATTAAACCAATACTACAACAATGAAATATACGAGAAACTAAAGCATAACGTTATTTCTGTTCAATGTGATAGTTTTATTATTCAGCGTCTGTGCCTTGAGAACGTTGTTCGTAATTGAAAAGTCATCATCATCATGTAGCAGGTCTTTTGCAGAACGTCGCTCTTATCACGGTCTACCTGAAAGAAACTCGGTCTCTCGCCAGCTTTCCCGCCTCATGTACTTTCATACTCAAGGAGTCAATTATATCCTGAGCCTATCTTCGTGTCGGTCGGTCCCTGCCCCTCCTTTCTAGTACCTTGCTTTCTGATATAATGTTTTCCAATCTATCGTGGCGCTTGATATGACCAAAATATTTCAGCTTCTGATACAGGATGCTGTTTATTAGCCAGATGGCAGTGTTTCTTCTTTTCTTTGTCCAAGACGTTATGAGAATCTTTCTTTAACATTTCAGCTCAAAAGCCCCTATTCTTTTTCTTAAGGACTGGGAGATAGTCCACGATTCACATCCTTATGTTGCTACACGGAAGATGCATGCTCTCAAAATTCTCCCATGCCAGACTCCAGTTTTGATCCTACCTATCCTGTATGTACTTGTCGTACACTGGAGTATGCTCCCAGACACCTATCCTGTGTAAACTTGTCGTACAGTGTTGGGATCTGCACCTCAGCTCAGCTTGTTCCAGTAAGATTCCTCATAAGGCTGAGCCGTATGGTAGCTTTTCTTTGGGTGTCTTCAACGTGGGGGTCCCAGGTTAGCCTTTTTGCCAAATTTTACTCCCAAATATGTTGGGTCTTCCTCTTTCGGACGAATGCTGCATTCTAGGTACGGATCAACTTGTTCTAGCTTTGTGGAAAGACAGAAGAGAGTTTTGACGGTTTTCGTCTGGTTTATTATAACCCCCCCCCCTTTCCCCCAGTGTCTGTCTTATTCTTAACCGCATTTATAGCTTCCTGCATTCTTGTTTTAGTTGCTGCGAGTATAATTGTGGAAGACTTTTCTTAACGCTTGCGGATCTTTCCTTACTGTCACGATGCACTCCAGTTTTCTCCTTCTCATCACATGACCAAAGAATGTAGATTGTCTCTTTTAGATGTGGGCTTACTATTTTTATCCGTCCAGGGTATTCTCGTAATTCTCTATAAAACCACATTTCCGCAGCTTCCAGATAAGTTGTCAATAATTTACTAACTGTCCATGATTCACTTCGGTATACCATTATAGGATTTATATAGCTTTTAACAATTCACTTTCTCTTCTCAGTTGACAAAGAAAGATTGCAGGGGAAAAAAAGTAGTAAATACATTAAATACCTTTCTTTGGGCTTAGAGCAAAATGTATCAAATTCATATCTTTATAGACTATCAACGCACTGGCACCCTTTACATCCCAACATTTTTGTTAGTACTAATTTTAGACAGGATCAACCCAGAAACATGGGTCATTTATTTAAAGAATCTGCATCGATGAGGGTACAAACTAAATTACAAAACAAACCGGAAGCTGATAATGCTTTGAACAAAGGTCTCCATAAAAATTACCTCACAAAGAAAATGAATTTGAAGGTTTCCATATTGCGCACCAGTACTGCAAGAACCTTGTATAAAGCGAGGCAGGCGACAAATGCTGCGCCCTGTGTGTGTAATGATATAAGGATTCCCTTGTTTAACCAGCCCTCATATATAGCAACATGTCGCCAATATTACAAAACTTCCTAAGCCTACGGGCTTGTGAGGCAATAATAATAATTTCGCGATATAATCTCTCTCCTGGCAATATGTGATGTATAATCTCTGGGTTTTGAACAAAAGTACAGGGGATTAATATCACTCGGAGAAAAAAAACTCGGGATGGAGGAGAAAGTAATAAAAGCATGATTTTTTGTGACGTCTTGGGTGACAAAATGTCGTTGAAAGATATAGATAAGGGAATGTAGGACATTATCACGACCTGTGACTAGAGGGACAAGTACTGAGGGAAATGAACTATCAAATTCAGTAAGTAAAAATGCACTCTTTTTCTTACTGTCCACAACGTGTGACGTTGATTATAATCATATCTGTCCTAGGCTTTCTGTAATGTGTACTGACAAACGTTTCGGAAACAGACATTCTCATCTGCAAGATGCCAAACTGTTCATTAACTTGCCTTCTAGTGTACTTTTGTTTCTCTTTCCAATTACCTTTCCCCTTTTCAAGCTGTACTTCAGCATGAAGGAAGTTATAAAAAATGGCCTGGAGAAAGATTCGAACCCAAAACCTTTGAACCGAGAGACAAACTTCTAACAACTATTCAATATCGACTCTTATTTCAAGGCTAAGATTTGAAGTAAATATGATGACACACTGTATGTTCTACGTAAGGTAAATATACTCCCATAGCCGATACTGCGTTTAAGGTGTAGAGTGATAGTGGTTTACACAACCTTGAAGACCAGGCATGAGATGGGCCACCATTTCCTTCTCATGTAGTCTTTCTCTATAAAACAAAGCCCAGAAAATTATAGAAATAACTTGCTAGCATGTATGGTCTTTATTATTGGTACCCTGTATCTATATGTAAGGGAAGGAAGAAAACCTGCACTAAGATCAATATCCCTCCGTGTGGGTTTTATATTTTGGAAAAGAAAGATAAACCAACCACTGTTTAACTCTTCACTAACAATGTCGTAAAAAGGGACTTTATCGGTTTTGTTTGTTTGCTGGAATACGGAAGTGTTTTGCAACATGTCGCAGCCGAGATGTAAACCACTACATAACCTACCAACAACCCGTTAAAAGTCGAATAAAGAAGAAAACGAAGGAGGTGGAGGTGAAGGGGATGATGATAATAATAATAATATTAAGAAGAAGAAGACGAATAAAAAAAAAAAAGAAGAACAAGCAATGTCTTTCACTAGATCTCACAAGACCGTAGACAGAAATAAAGTGATTGGAGCTGCAAAGGATGGCAGTAGATAGGGCAACAGGCCTGAGTAGCCTGATGACTTTGATCTATCTTTCTTTTCCCACTAAAAAGTTGTGGGGTTATTCTAGAACTGGCGACAAAGAATGGATACAATGGAAAGTCTAAATAAAGCTCAACCAAAAGCTGTGCCCATAGACGGATGGAAAATGTCAATCCATCTTTAGAAGATGGAAGAGCTTGGAGTTAGGTCGTTTACCATCCGCAGGCTGTAGAGATTGTTTTTATGTGTTTCCTCTCTGATGTCATCTTGAACCCGCGGTGACAGGACCAGCCACATGTGTTATGTCAAACCAATAAGAACACGAGATCAGTTATAATTAGGGACTGTTGTGTGCTAAATGAGTCAGCACACTACCAAGTAGTCTAGCAGGTACTCTCCAGCTTCCTCTCTCAGAAATAAGACTCGACACCGTCATACAAGTTTATTTAACATGATAGATGACACAAATGCAGAGACGCAGTTAGTGTTCACAGCTGACATTCGCACATTGTCCATTTGTCCTCACTCGCTCTCTATCGCTCAATTTGTAGCGGTCTCTCCGTGACTACTACAGCTCCTAGAGCTACAGCGTCCCACACCCTGGACGCGTCGTACATCTGAACAGGGAGACTTCTCCCATTCACTGGATCTTGATATAAATTCAGCATACACATATCTGACTGGAGACGGACTTCCTCTTGCCGTACTCCGAAACCAGGTACTACTGGCCTTCCGTCCCCTGGACTTGCCAGCGGGACCCTCACTTCAGTACCGCCCTTGACACTTACTCGGACCTAAATGCCCGATAGTCGTACGGTATTCTCGCATGTTTAAACTGGCGAGAGATATCCTGGACCCTGACTTGGCCGCTGATTCTCGCTTTCTCTCTCTCTCTTCTCGCTTCTTTCTCGACTGCTTCTCGCTTGCCCTCGAGGGGCTCTAGCCCTCAGGCTACAGCTCACTCTCCCCGGACCATCTACGCTGCCGAATTTATCCCTGTCAAATCCGTGTAAGTGGATGATGTCTACACGAGAGGCACGCTTGTATGTGCGTTCTCGTGACTCATGATCCTGTGGATGTTCATGAGACTCACGCTCACATGGGTGTTCTCGAGGATCACACTTATGTGGGTGGCTGATGTTACCTGAGAATCACGCTGTCACTTAGATTCACACTTTCTCTGTTTATCTCGTTATCCATGCATTTCAGTCCCCACACAGTAACCCACGCGTCCACATCTCTCGTGCATGCACGCCTTGTTCATGAATAGACATTTTCACTGGTCTCCTCTCAATGCTCGGACCATGTTGACACTCTTCTCCCGTAAACTGACAGACAGTACTGACCTCCCACTGTCCCTTCACGCAATATCACACTATCACACTTTACCCCAAATCAGCGCGCAACAGGGACCCTAAAGCCACACAGAGTGTTGTAAAGCTGAGAGAGTGCTTGAAAATCCACCATAGATTAGTGGCTAGACGCTTGTCTGCGGTCTCCTACAAGGATTTTTTGTTTACCTTATCTATCAGGTCGACCCAGTCTAAAGTCGGTTTCGTGAAGTGAGCTGGGAAATAAAATGCGGCAGGCGGAGTTTTGACATATAGTTCTAGCACTTTATGCGCCATTGATGTGAAAAGTCTGTTACTTCGATTTTATTTGTTAACAGCGCCAGAGAAATGGCTTTGTGCACTCTAGCAATAAAACTTCTCGGGCGCTAATCAAAGCACATCCTGAAAACTCAGCGTTGGTGGGATAGAGACAAAACGATTCGACAATACAGTTTTGCAAATGAAGGAGTTACAGTAAAAGAAGATAACTGACGCGTTAACTACAAAACATCACAACCGAAGAGAAGTCAAGACATGAGTAGAATACATTGATTGTTCAATGAACATAACAGTGAGTTCTTGTACTGAAAAAGATAAAATGAAATGTAACACTGTGTGAGCACAATAAGAAAAAAATTCCCCATTTTTAACTTAACGATAACTAGTTTCAATCTTCAAGTGAAATAATAAAATATTACATTTTCTATTAGTAGTAAGAACCCTAATAAACAACATTCTTTCTCGAAAGCTAAAATATTTTGGTCATATCAAGCGCCACGACGGATTCGAAAAAATTATATCAGAAGGCATGGTACCAGGAAGGAGGGTTAGGGGCCGACCGACACGAAGATGGGCACAGGATCTAAGTGACTCCTTGAGTATGAAAGTACATGAGGCGGGAGAGCTGGCGAGAGACCGAGTTACTTTCAGGCAAACTGTGATGAGAGCGACGTTCTGCAAGACCTGCTACATAATGATGAGTAAGAACCCACGCCACCCGCTCATCGTGAATGTGATGGAAGGAGGTCGGAATGTCCGAACTGAATTCCGTATACATTATGGAAGTTACTGCTCATGACAGAATGTAAAAAAAAAAAAAGGATCGATTGTAAGGTCCAAGAGACATTTGAAGCGCATGATGCTTGGGATTATGATGACGTATATCTATAGAAATAAAAATGTAAATTTTCCTTTGTTAGTAACAGCTAATCTCCGTTTTTTCACCGATTGCTATAAAAATTTGACATAGCGTTGCATTCAAATATGCGCGTACGCGCGTTTTTATATACAGAGCACGAACAACATAGTTCCAGCAGCGATCACATCGGTTTTTCTTTCGTTGCCGCATTCCATATTTTCATTTCCGCTGGGAATCGAAGTTCGTCTGTTGACCTCAGAAATCTACATGAAGCTGTATGCCGATAGTTCTTCACCGATTGCTTTCACATTTTGACACAACGTTGCATTTGAATGCGCGAGTGATTTTATACAAAATCCCCTGGCAGTTAGAAATCGAAAAGAGTAGCCTAACGGCGCTGCTGGGCAAAATCTGGCGTTAAAAATCTACCCAAAGTATTTCAGGATCCTCGCTGATGCTACAGAGCCTGTGAACTGTGCTGAGCTTCTTCGGACTCAGACTTTAAAAAGAACGGAGCACTTGTGGATTACTACATGTGTGCCATGATGTTGATCCGTTGTTCAAACTTCGAACTTCCAGCTTCGTTTCCTAAGTATTCAAATAGCTTGAAGTGTACGTGTTTGCCCGGCTCGCTAGCGTAGTTGGTTAATGCTGACTTCGCTGCAACCGGGTGACGAACTCCTTGTGGTCCGGGTTCTCTCCCGAGGGTAGGCAGAAAAGCCACATTTCTCCCAGATTTACGGTGCCTATCATGGAATCAAGGCCGAAGCGCTGCGATATCCATAGTACCGAGCCAAACGGTTAACTCATGGTTTCTGGATAATTTAAAAAACAAGTGTAGGTGTGTCGCGAATTTTGGTTTTGTTTTTTGTTTTTGGCTTGACAAGGGTGCCGCGGCAAAAAAAAAAAAAAGCATCAGAACCACTACTCTAAAGGTCCTGGATTGGGTTTTGAACGTCATTAGTCTGTGAGTAAATATAATGTTCACATAAATAACTAGATTTCTGGTCAAATTGGTGGATAGCCGGCTGACCGCTGACATAATTTTGTTTTCCTGCTACGTTTTGCTGATGCACATTCCTCTAGAATAAAAGTCCAAATGTTTACTCGTCCATCTAATGAATCGAGTGTCTGGTGGGGCACTGTGAGCTGTGGAT